GGATATTATAATTTTGTCCAAAAGTGAGCAAAGCAGTGAAGGAGACATCTCCGACCTTATAAAGTATGTATATTCTTGATCAGGATCACCTCCTGAGTTGATATGAGCACGTCCGTCTGTCCGTCTGTCTGTCTGTTTTTACGCAAACTAGTCTCTCAGTTTTAAAGGTATCGACTTGAAACTTTGCACACACCCTTCGTTCCTTTGCACGCAGTATATACGTCGGAACGACCGGGATCGTCCGACTATATCTTATAGCTGCCATATAACTGATTGATTGGAAATAGTATAACCTTGGTGTTTTTAGAGAGAGAGAGAGTTCAAATTTGACACGAGAGCTATATTTGTCAACACATTACGACATGCCAAATTTCATAAGGATCGGCCGACTATATCTTATAGCTGCCATATAGCTGAACGATCGGAAATGACCTTTTTTTTTTTTTAAGTTAGAAAGCTGGAACTTAGTACAGATTATATTTTTCTGGTTTTAACAGCAACGGTATATAAACTTCGGCTCCGCCCGAAGTTAGCTTTGGGGCCGTCCATATATTGCGTGACGCGAATTGCAGACTTTTTTGACCCCCTCCCCCCCTGCGTGACAAACCATGACGCGAGGTTAGACCCGCGTGACCACAAACCGTGACGTTAACCCGAACCCCCTCCCCCCAGGCGCGTCACGCAATATATGGACGGCCCCTTTCCTTTCTTGTTTGCAATACATATCGGTACACTGAATAAAAAAAAGTTAGTAACATAGTGAGGGGTTAAAGAAATTATTATTATAATAAAAAAAAAATTTTTTAATATTTAGCAATAAAAAAAAAACCCGCATTTTTTACATTTATAAAATAATACATAGCTTCTTACCTAAAAAATGTTCTGCGAAGAAGAAATTCATCGCTTCAAGTCGACCATTCTGGCAGAATCAAAAACAAGAATGTATTTCTTGCAGTAAAGTTTTAAAAAATCCAACACAATGCAACCGGATTTGCACGATCGATGAGAATACGAAAAACACTATAAATTGGTGTTGTAATTGTCCTTTGCATTTGCTGGGAGCCACACATGTAGATGACTTTTCATTTCCCATATGAAAGGCAGTCCAACAACAAAGAAAGGACGAGATCATTGGGAGTGGGCACCCCTGTTTTAGAGTTTTCCTAATTGCAATCCCCTCAGGTTGGAAGACGCTGCACATAGTGCAGTCCAGTCTAACATTTTTGTTGGCCAAAATCCATTTTTTTAAATTTTAAATATTAATGATATTTTGATTACATTCTAACAGAAAAAGAGTGACCATCAATTTTTCTTACCAAAAATTTGCATAGATTTGCAATTAGCGCCATATTAATATCAGCCTTTAAAGTCAGATTTTTGAATGCAATCACGTGCAGTGAAAAGCGTACTCTTAAGTGTTGTTTTCAAAAAGAAAACTTGTTTAAAAAAAAACAAAATTTTAATAAAATTTGTGATGGGTTCTAATCCCTCGGGTTTGTACTACATGTTTTGTAATGTGAAATGTTTCAAATTGTTGTGATGTCTTTGTAGTTATATGTAAAAGTAAGTCGTCTAACAGGTGTAATATTGAAATTAAATCTCATTTTCAAAAAGGTGTACAAAGTGAGTCCAACCTAGTCCAATCCTGAAACCTAATGTGTGTCGTACAGTTATCAATTCTTGATCAAGTGTATATAGTGTATATAGATATGGCTATTCCACTTTCAACCACTTTTTTTGGAATTTGCATTTTTAGTTCGTAACCTCAAATTCAACAACTCAGAGTTGTTTGCCCTGTGGAAGTCTATCTAGGGCCAAGTATCCAAGGAGAATGCTATTGTCGAATTTTTTAAAACGGCAATTGTCGGCAATATTTCTGAGGAAATTATTCAAGATTTTGAAGATGCTGGCAAGAAATTTTGTTATCGTTTTGCAGGCATAATGCAGAAGTATTTCAAAGCAGACATTCTGATTGGCTAAACACACAAACGTGTTTATCAGTTGGCCAGAAAAACAATTCAGTGGGACGCCCTGCATTAACATATAGTCAAATATCCTGAAGGATATTTTGGTGGGGAGGGAGCTGAAGCGCGAAACAAATCAGATCGCTTGCATCATGCACGGAAGTCCAGTCGAATAAATAACACAGTGCGACAAAAAAAGAAAATTTGGAGGAACTTTTGAAAAGACCTAGTAGAAATTGTATATTAGGTCGAATATGGAATAAGGGTGTTAGAAAAATTTTAAACACGGTTTCATATTCGACCTAATGACCTAGGTCTCTTCAAAAATTCCAAATCACTGTTGCACTGTGTAATTTTTGTGACGTCTTTTGTGACGGATTCCAGTATATAAAAATCAAACTTTAATCGTTTATATTTCATATATACGCAACCACTTAGTTGATTTATTTTTTAGTTCAATTAAGTTCCGTTATGTTTGTTTTCGGTTGAGTGTTTTACGTTGAAAGATTCGTAAAATACTCGCCTACTGAACATCGCTCACTGAGAGATATGATTGACGTTCGCACAGAGATCCGATTGAACCGATTGAACGAAAAATTCAATTCAAAAAGTCTTTTCAACACTTTAAATCAGGGGTGCCCAACCTCAGCATACAGCACACTATAGGAAATTTGACCACTTTTTCTGGCCAAAACCCATTTTTTGAACGTTAAGCATAGTACATACTGAGTTGACGAAAATCCGCTGTCGAACGAGTGACAGCTGTCAAACTAAATATAAAAAATACGGTGTAAAAAAAGGAAGAAGAAGAAATTTTCGCCTTCTAGATTTTGCGGGTACTGAGTTGACGAAAATTTTTGTTATCGATTTCAATGCTGTTGCCGGATCAAAAAAAATAAACAGCTGATCTCGGGGAGTTGAAAGAAATAATTTCATTTATTTCTATAGGTGTGACATGAAGGGTCAATTGATCAAATAAAAAAATAGTCGGCCCGAAAAATTTTCGACGCGCCAGGACAAATTAAAATTAATTTCTGCGGTCAAGACGAAGCCCATAATATGGCATTTGACCCACAAGGGGCATTTTAATTCCATAAAATGGCATTGAAATGATTTGTAATTGATTTGGATTTTAATTTTGACCCAGTTTTCTATTTCTTTATCAGCTCCTTAGCGGCGAAATACATACAGTGGGTCGCAGCTTATTTCAACCAGCACCCTAAAAAAAACTCAAAGCTAAATATCTCGTGAACTAAAAAAGGTATCAAAATAATTCAAATGCAGATTTTTAGTTTTACTTTTCAACAACAAATATATGTTTCTATTTATTTTCTAAGATTTTTTATACATTTAATAATAATATTTAAAGAAAAATACAACTAAAAATAGCGTCGCAGCTTATAAACAAAACACCAACATCCAATCGTTTTGAATTCATTTTTGCTTATTTGTTTTTTGTTTACAAACAACAGCTGTTCAGTATTACCATATTTCTTAATTTCTTTGGGTCACACTAGCTCGGTAGCTGAATAAAGTGCGATATCGTTATCGGATTTTCAACAGCGGATTTTCGTCAACTCAGTACTAGGCTTTAAAGTATTTAAATAATTTTAACTGCATATCATTCACAATAAATAAATTTTTAATGTTCCATACCAGAAATTTTCATAGATGGCGCCACTGCGAAGAAATCAGCTGTTAAAAACAGCTGTTGATGTTAACATTTACATGAGCTTAGAATTTACGATTTTTTGGTGCGATTTTAAAACGTGAAAATATGGACAAAATCAAAAGTTTTGAAATGAATACTTTTCAATGTGGTTTGTGTTATTTGTTTCTATATGTGAACTGTCCAAAAAACTTGTGTTGTCTTTTCAAGTGGGCGATGCCACGCCCACATTTTTTAAAAATCTTAAATCTATTGACCATGTGAACTCAAATCAAAAATCAGAAATTAAATATCTTGTTTCGTTCTTGAGATATTATTTTTGGCCAGAAAAAGTGATCATATTTCCTATAGGGCAGCAGAGCAAACTCCAATCCAATTTTTTTTGCAAGTCATGTCAATATACGGAAAAAAATTATAGTAACATTTTAAATGGAAAAAAGTAATAAAAAAATATTAATGAAATAAAAATTAAAAAATGTAATAAACTTTCAAATAAAAGAAATTCATAGCTCCGATGTCAACCGAGAGCAATTAAATTCTGTTCGATGCACAGTGGTACAATGCGTAACTATATTTATAAAATATTTTTAAAAATCTTTGATTTATTACATTTATTGGGAGTTAAGCCTGACAACTAATAAAGAGATAAGGTTTTGGGTATTTATTGAACTCCGTCGTTCGCTTAGAGTAAATTCTTAAGCTGAAAATGCTTTCTCTACAGATTTTTGAGTTGCAGGGATTGCACTACATGTGCAAGCGCACTCAGGTTTCACGATTTTAGCCTTAAATTTCTATAAAAATGTTTAATTCTAAACGACGATACATTTTGTCAAAGTTCTAATTTTGTTTATTTTAATTTTATTTATGCAAAAAAGACTTTTTGAATCGTCTCACTAAGTCAAACGGTCCTGGAAGGAACAGAGAAAATGGGAACAGAAAATATTGCTCGTCATTTGATCGAGAGCAAAATTTGTATACGAATATAGCAAACGGTTGCTCTCAGACTTTTGGCTCAAAGATCCTGAACAACACTTTTGAGACCCTAGAAATCGGTTAATGGTTATTTGCAAGCTATGAATAAAATATTTAAATAAAAAATTCGTTTTACGAAAATATTTTATGTTTTCGATCTTAATTTTCATGAAATATTCTTCTAAATTCTAAATATTCTATATTTGAATTTCCCCAAAAATATAAACAAGCTATAAATCAAAATAATTCATTTTAGACTCTAACTTTTCTCGTTCCTCGTACTCTTTTTTTGAATAGCCTAAAGATTTCGATTTTATTTAAAAAGTTCGCATTAAAAAACCAATCCATGAATTATAATCAAATGTATGTTATACATAAGTGTATACTGTCGAATGTAATACATTGTAGCTTTTATTAAATAAAAAAAAATTTTTTTCATATTCATAACATTTGGTAGACATGAGATGGAATTAGCTCGGAATTAGAAAGAAGACTGCGGTTAAGGCCACAATCATAAAAACTCACAGATAGGAACATTTTTAAGAGTTCGTTTTAAATATAATTGCCAACGACTAAAGAACATAAAATGAATATCAATGGAGTAAATCCTTGTCCTCCCGAATTAATAGATTCAGATTCCGGGTGCGATTTCTGGTAATTGCGGCAAAATGTCTCGTTTCGAATGAAATTAAACATGGACTCAACCAGATTCGCTGGTGTTATGTCTGGGCAAGTCTCCAGGCGAGCAACCACGCATGTCTGTAGGCTCAGCATGTCGTCACACTGCTTCTGACCTACAATAAGCTTTGGAATTGATTTTATTTTATTTTCGGCGATATACGAGGAATGGAATAATGCAGAGAAAGTGCTGTTGAGGCACTGCTGAATGTTATCCTTCTCAGACTGAAGGCACTCAGGTCCTTTTTCGCCAATGAAAAGGGCTATCTGGTCGCCATTCTTGTGACAGACGAAATTAAGCAGGCTTTGAACAATGCGTTTTATTGCATTTGGGCTCTCCTGTTCTTCTTTTTCAAGACATGGTGAAACAATCAAGGTAAAATCATCGACACAGTGGATGGCATCCGACCGCTTGTTGCAATATTTATTAAAAACAACATCTAGTTCGCCCCGTGGAGTCGCTTCTTCGATTTCCTGCTGTATCGCCGTGTGATTTACAATATTTACCATGCATTCGCTAAATACGCCAAAACTAGACTCTATTTCGTCATAAGCTTTGCTGCCGTCTTTTTCGCCGAGCACAGAAATACATTTGTTGCGAAAAGTGTCTCCTTCGAGACCTTCGAAGTTTGGCCTAAGCTCTAGAGGTACTTCTTTTGCAAGCTGGGCGTGTGTCCAAATGACATAGAAAAATAAGTGCAATACTACACAAATTGTGTTTTTCCATAGCGTCATCATATCGACTTGTGTATTGCTTGATTGCCAAAAACTAATTCCAATGTGAAAAAGACTTTGTATTCTTTGAAGCAAAAATGCAACCTTTTTCGTATGCTCAAAGTATTCTTGGAATGAGAAGCAGGCTTGTCAACACTAGTGTTGCCACTTTAGCAATTTATTTGCTAAATTTAGTAGAGATATCTAACCTTGTTCAATGTAACAGCCGAAAGTATAACATTTTTAAATTATTTTTTTATTTATTATTATTATTATTATTATTATATTATTATTATACATAATAAATGACACATAAAAGAATATTCGTACACGGCATGTGTCTTTGTTATATTTTTTTTCTTTCATGGGGCGAATAATATTATATCTTAATGTGTAATTTTTTCTTTAATATGATATATTGATTGATATAGTAATATTGTTTTTAAAAATTATTTGATTATGAGTATATTACAAATACTTTCCTTTCAACAGCCGATTAACACAGCCAGCAAGAATACTTCAAATGTAAGCCTAAAACTCAGATCGACAGGCGAGAGGCAAATAGGTGCCTTTCGGCCTGTTCGCTATCAAGTACTCAGATCGAACAAAAAAAAATACCAGAAATTTACATGGGGAAGTAACCCACACCAAACAACCTTTTACAGGGTTCGCAGCGAAAAGATTAGAAATTTTAATCTTTCGTCCCGTTTGACAGAGTCGGTGATAGAATTGCAAGAAATTTGATTTTTTATTTTAATAATGCAGAGAATCAATGTAAATTCTTGCCCAAGTCAAATTGATAAATTCGATGCGCTAAGAGTTAAGCCTAGTACTGAGTTGACGAAAATCCGCTGTTGAAAATCCGATAACGATATCGCACTTTATTCAGCTACCGAGCTAGTGTGACCAAAAAAATTAAGAAATATGGTAATACTGAACAGCTGTTGTTTGTAAACAAAAAACAAACAAATAAAAAACAAAAACAAAAAACAAAAATGAATTCAAAACGATTGGATGTTGGTGTTTTGTTTATGTATTTCGCCGCTAAGGAGCTGATTAGGAAATAGAAAACTGGGTCAAAATCAAAATCAATCAAAAATCATTTCAATGCCATTTTATGGAATTAAAATGCGCCTTATGGGTCAAATCCCATATTATGGGCTTCGCCTTGACCGCAGAAAAATAATTTTAATTTCTCCTGGCGCGTCGAAAATTTTTCGGGCCGACTTTTTTTTGTTTGATAATTTGACCCTCCATGTCTCACCTATAGAAATAAATTAAATAAATGAGATTTTATTTATACAGCTGAGATCAGCTGTTTATTTTTTTTGATCCGGCAACACCATTCAAATCGATAACAAAAAATTTTCGTCAACTCAGTACCCGCAACATCTAGAAGGCAAAAATTTCTTCTTCCTTTTTTACATCGTTTTTTTTATATGGAGTTTGACAGCTGTCACTCGTTCGACAGCGGATTTTCGTCAACTCAGTACTATGCTTTAGAGATCTAATTAAATTAGTAGAAATTTTTCTCGTCGACATATCATGATGGGGCAATTTCATGGCGCCAATCGCGTTAATTCGAACAAAAACCATTTCATATTAATAGTTTTACATCCAGATCTTCAATCAGTTGTTTCCAACATTGTCAATTTTTAAATTCTAATTAAAATCAATTTTAGAAGGGCTGCGTAAATTAAAAATATTTGTTCACACTGGAAAGAATAAACATTTTTACTCGTCAAACCTGTTTTTCGATATGAGTACTAGTCCATACGCTCAATTGCATATCGACCTTTATCTCCCATCACTAGAAGCGCCAAATTCTGCATTGCTTGCATTTTTATTCAAAAAGTCTGATTGTCTTTTAAAATATGTGTGATATAGATAACCTGATTGACTTAACCGAATGTGACGAAACCAAGGAAGACCATGGAAGTTTCCATAAAGAGGAGGAAAAGGAAAATCATCTCGTGGCCACAAACTGTTTCAGGGAACCCTACGATCCTTTTGACATGGTTGAGAACGAAGCTTATAATAAGGTTAGCTCTTGAATATATGTACATATGTATGCGAGTATAGTAAATACTGATTTTGTTTCTGGCAGGCCATTTCTTTAAAGTCTCAGATAGATGAAAAGGTGTCGAGTGCCGAGTGCCAGTACCCGGATCTTATTAATGAAAGTCCTCCGGTTTGCATGCAATCAGATGGGTTGCCTGCAGAAGCATCTAGGCAGCGATGTACCAACAATTGTTTTCAAAAACAATTGCTGAAGCTTAATGTTTCGCGTTTGATGGCTGACATGCTGCCTAAAAGTTTTGATGATTGCGCTCAGTTCGAAAACACCATTTTGAGGGAAAATTTGCAGATGTTGGCAGCTGAGTCACCGTTAAAATTAATAGAGGACGACCCATTATCTTCTAGTGCTAATTTCGAAGAAGATTTAAAAATGATGCGCATTCCGATTTTGGATGTATTGAGTAAGGAAAAGACATCATTAGCCATAGAAAATCGCGACAGCCAACTTTCTGAAAAAAGAAAAGAGGATGCGCCTCTGACCAATGACCTGTCAAAATCAAAGCATTTAAGAAAACTTCTCCAACAGTTAAAAGTTCTGACTCGTGAAAATATTGACAAGTCCAAGTGGCATCATTTTGATGAGATAATAAGTTCTATTTTTCAAATTATATATGGATGTACCGATGAAAATTTTGAAGCCAACGAAGACAATCAAAATGCTAAGGCAACACTTTCACTACCTTACCCGTACACACGGCAGGGGACATTCGACCTTGAACCACAGGTATATATCGTCGCATCTCCGGGAAAGTATTGTATATATGTTGCTTTTCTATATAAATTAAGATTTTAATTCCAAATTAATAACAAGAATGGAAATCTAATACCCTAAAGCCTTTATTATAAAACCAATTTATTAGAATACATAATTTAGAAAAAGTCCAAAGCTTTAATCTTGAAAAAAAAACATGTTGGTGATTTTACCAAACACCATTTCCGATTTTTTCAGTCGTATGCCAGCTATAGTATATAATCGGCCGATTCCTGTTTCTACTTATATACTGCGTGCAAAGGAAAGAACATTACCCTTTCTGCCATGTAACTTAACGATCGGAAATGATATTTGGTAAAAATACCCACCTTTGCTTTTTTCAAGATAGAAGCTTTGGACTTTTTCTAAATTATGTATTCTAATAAATTGGTTTTATTGACTTTATCCGATTTTTGCGATATTTATCCGTTTTTAACTGCAAGGGTGGGTATATTAACTTCGGAAGTTGAGTTAGCTTTCCTTTCTTGTTATTGAAAACTTTAATCCAATAATTTTCTTAGCGCATTTCGTAATAAAATTTCTGTACGCCCGTTAAATACAATTTTTTTTTATTATTTCTAGTACAATAAAGGAAAGAACGATGAGAATGTAGATAACCAAGAGACTAGCTTCAAGTCCACCATCGGTGGTAACAAGATTCAAAATTTTCCTGAAGCTATGGTCTCTTCGACAGCGACGTTTGATGGAGAATCTTATTTTGAAAAAGATTCCTACCAATGCCTTCAACCTTTACCTTCCATGCAATTGGCCGCAAGAGATACGTTTATGACTCAGTTGGTGGATGAAAGTCTGGCTATTCAGATTAAAAACATTTTAGAACAACATAGCCTTACTAAGACTGCCATTGGTATCATTGAACAGCCCAGCACCGATCCAAGGACGGTAATTTTACTAGTAAATCCAAGAAAAAATGATGAGAAATTGCAGACCCCTATCTGTGTTAAGCCTTTAAATCCAACGCCCAAACCTATTTTAAAAGATGCAGGAACGATGCGTCGGCGATCTTCTTCACTTTCAATACATGACAAGACGAATCTGATCAAGGAATCACGAAAGTCCGATCGCCAAATGGAAAATTTTGAGAACATTCAACCTACGGATACTAAAAGCACGAGCTCTACCGCGTCGTTTAATGCATCGAATGCATTTCGACAGAGGCGGAATTCGTTTTCTACGACAAATACAGTTTCGAAGCCATGTGACAGGCGCTCAGTCTTGGGAAGTCGTATAAAAACGCCGTCGATATCAGAGTCTTTAGTCAAGGGCCAGGGTGCTATGAAGACTACTATTCCAATAAAACGAGTGGTTCCCATTATGAAACCTTTGGGCTCCTGTAACGAAAGTAAAGCCCTATCCGTATCAGCCACTCGCTGCCCTGTTCCAGAGACGCCAATGTCATCAAAGGGCAAGACTGGACAGAAAATATTTAGCACCAGCACTCCATTACCCCAGATGCGCTCCCAACCCCGCAGATCGCATAAACCTCCTCTTTAAAGACCTAAATCAGAAGCCCAAAAACCAGAAATCAGTTTTTCTGATATGTCTGAAATTGGTCAACGTGCTGATACTGCCGATTGCAATCCATGCATCGTCGCATAACTGGAGGCAATGTCGTTTGAAAGTGAATATATTTGTGATGTCTAAGGTGAAGTTATTAACCTTGAAAGATAAAGCGAATGTAAATATGATTAGATCCTAATATTTTCATGGTTGTTTCCCCCCAACTTCGCTAGATAAGAGAAAGACACTAAGTTATTGACCATTCTAAGTTGATTTAAATGTTAGAATCGCTAGTTTTATGCTTTACTATCTTTATTCTAAAATAAAAAAAAAATGTGTTATTTACCGAATGTTTTATTTTTCTATAGAAATAAATAGATGAATTTTATTATTATGCCAATTTTAAATATTTCTGTACAAAGTACAAGTCAATACAACACTAAAACATTAACAATATAATATAGTATTTCTTCTTCGGTCTTTAATATGGTTGTAGTACAATAATGTATGTCAGGGAAGGGTACGAAATGTAACGGTCGGAGCAGAAGCTCGGCCAGACAAAAAATTACAACCACAATCACCACCGTCGGTATGCTTCGCTGCCACGAGCCAGACAGAATGTGCGAGCGAAAAGAACACACTGACAAAAACAGTTTCAGTACAGTTTCAATTTCTTTTCAAATTCTAAAGTTTCAATTTCTTCGTCTTTCTTTTTACGTTCACTGGTCGTCGACAGCACAGAATTACAGTATGAATTTCATACCATTCTGAACAACTCTATTATGATAACCACTCATAAAGGAAAAATATATACAGAGAGGTCAAAATGTATAACTTAACAGTTTAACTTAGACTTAAAAGTTTTAACTTTTGTATATGAACATACATATTATGTATATTTAAGGGGGGACATCTGAGTAGAAAAAAATCGAGTTTTGAAAAAATCGAAAATTTTTTTTTCGCTTAAAAAATTCTTTTGGGTCTTAAAAATAACATATCAAAAGATAGAGTCCGGCCAAAGTGTCTAAGTGTCGAAATTATTCATTCTGCGGCGATGCCTCACAGGCATATCCCACAGTACTTAAAACTTTAAACGCGTTTTTCTCGAAACCACTTTTTTTGAGTTGGCCGAACACATAACTCGAACCACTCTAAACCTATCGATCTAAAATTTTGACAGTATACTCAGAATACTCAGTATACTTTTGACAGTAATACCTATGTCTATCGACACACGTAGGTTTTTTTTTTGTATTTTGCTTACTTTTTTTTTTATCAACAATTTTGTGACGTTTTTTGTTCGTGAAAATTGAGAATTTTGTTCAATCACTCACTATTTTGCAAAAAATCAATATATCAAAAAAATCCTACGTGTGTCGATAGCCGTTGAGATACAGAAACTAACCAAACTTGATTTTTTGTTCTAGATCAAAAATTAGGGACGTTAGGTGTTCGGCCATGGACCCCCTTTAAAAAAATGGGGCCTACGAATAAGGGCTGCAGGGCCGCCAATTTGTGTTCGATTTGTTAAAAAAAAATTTTATTGTGTAGTTTAAATATAAAGTAATAAAACCGCATTTAAAAATTTTCGATTAGCTGTTTTTATTTGGCCAAAAAAAATTCCAGAAAATCCGTTTTTTTTTCGCCTGTTACTCAGATGTCCCCCCTTAAATCAGTGGTCGGCACCAAATACTTAGATATGGTTTTAAGGCATTAGTATTGGTAACGAATAGCAGAAAGTAGGCTTTGAGCATGACGTTTGTATGTGTATGTATGTGTGTGGCAGAGCTTGGTCAAAGAAATTTACTATGCCCGCGGGATAGGGCCGTGCCGACCACTGATTTATATAATTGTGGTCAAAAGTGAGAAACGCAGTCAAGGAGACATTTTCAATAAAGTGTTATCTTGATCAGGATGAGCTCCTGAGTCTATATAAGTAGATTTAAAAGCTATCGAGTTCACACATTATTCTTCCCTTTGTCGACTATCGGTCGGTCCTCGTCGACGATATCCTATATCGGAGACGTAAAACATATGACTGATTAATTAAAAGTGCTGTCACTTAATTTTATTAAGAGGATAATGCCGTGTTGAAAAAACGTTATTTGGGGAAAAAAAATTCAGTTTAAAAATGTTTATTTTTTAAAACTAAAGGATAGTACTGAGTTGACGAAAATCCGCTGTTGAAAATCCGATAACGATATCGCACTTTATTCAGCTACGGAGCTAGTGTGACCAAAAAAATTAAGAAATATGGTAATACTGAACAGCTGTTGTTTGTAAACAAAAAACCAAAAGGTAAAAATGAATTCAAATCAATCTCAGTACTATGGTCACACTAGCTCGGTAGCTGAATAAAGTGCGATTTCACTAGCGGATTTTCGTCGTCACAGTACTAGTCTTAAGTTCCTACCCATAGCCACTGAGCCAAACAAATTCCCCACATGACCCCCTTAATACATAAGTATACATGTATGTATACTTCATGTATGTATATGTATATATACAATAGTATATATTGTATGTACATATATCCGATCAGATATATGTACATCATAAAATATTCATTCCGACTTATTTACATAAGTGCTTATAAGTCATAATGCGTCCTTATATGTATATGTATGTATGTTAATACAATAATATATGTATACTTATTATTATATAATAATATAAGTAATAGTATGATAAAATAAGATTACGCAAGAGACTGATAAATAAACCAAATAGCTCCGAATAAATTAATAAAAAAAAATAAATACGGCAGAAAAAAGGATCATTATGGTTTTCTTTGTGGCTTCGTTTTATTTATATGATTCAGTTTTATTTTAATTCATTGCAATTCATATTTTAAACGTACATCTCACCGTGATAACTCAAATAAAAAGGCAATCATAAGATACAAAAAAAATTTGTCTACTGTATCTTATTGAGTTGGCTCTTAAGAATGCTAAGTTGGGTGAGACAGTTGTCTCTGTAATTGCGGCGAGCGACCAACTGATCCAAAGGCACCATTTCCCCCAACTGTTTGGCAACATCAACTGCTACAGAACCCTCCATTTTGGGCGTAGGCCCCATGGTCTCGCTTACTGCATAAATGGTCTTGGAATAGCGTTCAAAATAGTTTGCCATACCCTCGGCGTTCAGGTGGGCTGTTTCCAATGGGCCCAAGAAGGCGTAGCGCATTCCCAGACCGTCGCTCATCACACTATCAATATCCTTGACGTTTAGGATGCCAGCCTCGACAAGGCGCCATGTCTCATTAAGGATTGCATATTGAATGCGGTTCAAGGCAAATCCCTCGATCTCACGCGATAATGTGACTGGCTTCTGACCGATTTCGTTCATAATGGCTCGGGTTTTTTGTACCCATTCCGGTTTGGTCCAGGGAGCTGGTACAATTTCAACAAGCGGCACATAGTAGGGTGGGTTGACGGGATGCGACACCAAAACCTGTTTGGTATGGAATCAAAATTTGTATTAAATATAACATCACTCCCAATCGCTATTTGGCGTGCATTCAGTAGGAAAAATGGAATCTAGGCAAAAATACATACATATGTACATATTTACAAAACATTCATTCAGATCAGATACAGCACTCGGATCCAATGAATGTTATTTTAGAACAGTGAGCAGTGGGTAGCAAACTCTCATTTTCCATAGTACATAGGGTCGAAAATTCTGCCGCAGCGCTGCCGGCACACTAACAGTGTCAATTTTTGAACTTTTAATTTTTTTTAGAAGCTCTCATTTGCTCACATTTTGCCTCACTTAACAGCCCAAACTTAAAAAAAAAAAAAGTTTTTCACTCAGAAAAGTTTTCTAAGAAATTTGATTGGACAAGTTTTCTTCTATAGAATATATAGTTGGGGAAGCTTAGATTAGATAGGTTTAAGAACTGAACTAGAAAAGCTTTCTTTTATATAAAGTGGACTATTTTAGTGCCCATTTAAATTTTTGAATTAAAGAAAAATTAATTAAAAAACTTCCCTTTTTCCTTCAGTGAGTGCTTTGTTTTTTTGGTGCTTACGCGCACACTCAAACTTTAAACAGGTGTGAGTTTTGCACACCACTGACGTAGAGTAATGAAAGGCAACGGTTCTGAGAAAACAAATAATTTTACTTACGTTGGCCTTGTTTTTCAAGTCTGCGCTAAAGAGAGAGGGAAGGAAGGTGCTAGTGGAACTGGATAGGATGGTATTGGGACCAACCACTTCGTCGAGCTGTTTGTAAAGCGCCTTTTTTAAGTCCAGACGCTCGGGAATACACTCCTGAATGAAAATGGTACCCTTAGCCAGCTCCTTGAGGTCATTTGTTCCCGAAATACAGGAGAACTGTTGTGCGGCGGTCAGTTTGCCACGGAGCAGACCCTTTGACTCCAGGTTCTGCAGCTCTTTCTCTGTGAGGCACAAGGCAGTGGACACCTGCTCAGGCAGGATGTCATACAAAACCACTTGATACCCCACAGAGGCGAACAACATGGACCAGGAGCGGCCAATAAGCCCGCTGAAAGAGAGTAGAGTGGATTATTTTACTAATTGCGATAAATGGGGATCCGGGATGAGACTTGCCTGCCAACAATGCCAATTTTTTCCTTTTTCAGAGACATGTTCACTTTTTCCTACAGATTTCAGCTGATTAAGTGCTTGGTAGCTAACGAGGTAGTGACCACAACAGAGCTCGACGTGCGGGCAATTGAACAGCTCTAAAACTGCGCAACCGGTTTAATATTTTGCGATAACGCAGAGGTGAACCCCAGATGAGTGGCCCAATTGTGGGGTGCTCCGTGCCACTGATGGGTGTTAGTGATTTCTGAAAAGATAATGAGCTACAATGCGATAGTATTGCTCTCCGGAGAAACAGTTACCAGAGCACCAGTGCCTTTATAGAAAAAATATCATTGTTACTACATAAGCCCAGCAGCCATTAGATGTCTGCGGTGTGATTTAGGGCTTATCTTTTATCTTTTTGGTATTCTTATCCAGTGCGGAAATTTTCCACTCCATGTGCTTCGCATGACAGGCGAGGTTGAAGCGGATCAATCCATTTCCTACTGGGTACTTTTGAGAGAAACTGTATCAAAACGCCCTTAATTTGACATTTATTGAAGGCGTTGTTTTGTTTTTAACCGCTGAGTATCTTTGAAATTTGTAGAGGGCACGCTACTTCGCTCCTGTCGGAAAACGTATTATATTTTAAAATTCTAGATGATAATAATTCATTTTTATTTGGGATAATTGACTGTATTTATTTCGGTTTCGCTAAATTTTAAGATTATTCCTATTCCATAACAAAAGTTTGCGTTTAAACTTAAATTTCTATCGGTGATATAATTTTTTTCTGAATTTTGAAAGCACCAAAGTTACAATAACTTTGAAATAAGCATTAAAATCTGAAATCTCAAATTATATTATTTTTTAAATTTCTAATATGAGAGTCCGTGGTATAATTTTTGTTATGAAAAAATGCAATATAGGTATAAAAACTACACATGAAAAATTTTTCTTACACGGCACGTGTCAGTGTGGGACATTTCTTTTTTTCTTTCACGAGCCAAATATTTTAGGACATAAATATGTAGAAAATATCGGATATACTTGGCCGATGCTTATCATAATTTCATTATGAAAAAAAACATAACTAAAGTTGATATACCCTTGGCACGGGTCCGTTGCTGTTAAGATCGGATATATGTCGCAAATATCAGATACAGTTGGCTGATCCTTATGAGAATTTCAATAGTAGACAAATTTCTTAGAAAACAACATTAGACAAAATATCTTAGTTTTTATCTTCAAAAATATCAAACTTCCAATTTCCATTTCCATATCCAATCGTAGATATAAGGTAGCTGAAGGATATAGTCGGCCGATCCCCGAAAAAAAATGACAAAAAATTAAATACATATATAGAAGATTACACTCCTCCCTTCCTGAATGCCAATTAAGACAAGAACACTTCATATCCATACATATAAGCACAAACTCCAAACACACCAAATTTTTAAAAGTACAGTTACATAACATATGTATATGTACATATATATTACATAACAAAAGTTTCAAGTCGATAGCTTTAAAATTTAGAGACTAGTTTGCATAGAACCAGACAGACGGGCATGCTCATATCAACTCAGGAGGTGATCCTGATCAAGAATATATATACTTTATAGGGTCGGAGATTTCTCCTTCACTGCGTTGCACACTTTTGGGCAAAATTAGAATACCCTCTGCAAGGGTATTAATATGATAATGAACATGCTCCATTTTTTCAGATTGTTCTGCAGAGGAAACACAAACTCACAAACGGATGGATAAACTAGACAGCTAAGAAAAATTCGTAATTTTTAAAAGTTCTTAAATAATTTGTGAATGGATTGTCGGATCGGGCTGATTGAGGTGTCAATCGACTGTATTCAAAATTAGAATGTTGTTGAAAATTCAAAATTTTGTGATATTTAATATTAAAAGTAAGCCAATGGAAATATTTTATTGCGTTTTTCTTTCATTGTATTGGTTAATGCCCTAAGAAGCTATTAAAAAAAAAATTTGCGTGTCAACAAAGTCAATTTTTTTCCAAAATATGACCTTTGAGACAATTGACGAAATTTGCAAATATTAGTTAAAGAATCAAACAAATGAAAACATTAATACACAAAACACATAAACAAACATAATAAAAACCTGTAGTATTGGTGTCCATCGCAATTTATATCAAAACATTATTTTTATTATGAATATGAATTTCGGACACTTAAAGTTACCCAATTACGTTTTTAGCGTGTTTTTAACACGTTTGCATAGAAAAAAAAAACCCTAAAATCAATATTTTTATAAAATGACTACACTACTCCTACCCTCCACAGTGAAAGCGTTTTTGTAAGATTGCAAAAGATGGTACACAGACATTAAAAGCTGTGCAGGTTCTAACATAGGATTTGTAGCTGTTAAGATGTTATATAGGACTTGTTTGGTCATTGAGAGTTTTCAATGCCGTAAATAAAAAATCAGAATTTAATTCAACGTTATAACTTTATTCAGGCCGCATATGAAATTAGGATTTATGAGGATTTATAGAACATATGGGAAATCCAATTTAGGATGCGAGCGCAGTAAGGAGATGAACGAGAGTGGCGCCAACCTTGCAGAATAGGCTGAGCGGATGTTCGCTAACTATAAACGCCGAAGTAGCAAAGCCGAGCGGCCGAAAGAGAGTCGGCTTGCGACCAGCAAAACATCAGTTACTAATTAATTGTTGTGTTTAAATTAGTTGCTTGCTGCTTGACTCTAAACCTTAAAATATGTAATTATATATGAGAAGGTATTGAAATAAATATGAAAAGCGTAACAATTAGTCGTGTTTCAAGAAATGACATTGTATCTTTTTCATGCTTTTCTATTATTACCTACCTTGCCATTAAAATAAGGAATACTTAAAACTCACGTTTGTAAATAAAAATGTTCTTGATTATTATATTAAAAAATAAAATTTGGTAGTATTGTTCTATAGTTTTGATGATTTTATTTTAGTTAACTAAAATGCTGCTTATAGGGCCATTTTGCGACCCTCTATAGAAATTTCGACTGCCCGGCGACTTTCCTTTAACCGTTTAGAGTCCAGAAATCGCTTCATGTGCTTTTCGTAGCGGTTTGGTTTGCGCTTAGTTGACTAGAATTGCATAAAACGTTTTAACCGGTTAAAATATTAAGTAAAAAATATTCTGGGTGTACGTGCCTTGGAGATTTCGCCTTCAACAGTTGACTTAGGTCTTATAACGTAATCCTTGTTAGATGGCATGGGCACTCGAGCGCGAGCAACCCATCCGGGATCACCAGGTCTCAACAACTTGTCCTCGCCTGAAAGAGTTTGATTTAGGGATTGCGCTTGGGCCTTACTTGTTGAGGCTGGTTGCGGATCTGGACTCTTCAAGCGATGTTTTGACATTTGCGCCAGGTCACGCTCCTGCCGCTCCTCCTTACTCATCGCCGAGAAATTGCAGCTTAAGTTAAATATCGGGCGAGCCCATTCGGAAATGAGGCGACCAGCTCGATCCCGATTTTGCTTTGTCTCTTGCGGGTGCTTGTATAAATACATAACAGCTTTTCCGATCCCAGATTGTTTTAGAAGTCCCTTTTCAATTGTAGGAAACTAAAATAGAACAATAGTGTTAAAAACACGGTTCGTAAACTTAGAACCAAAAATGATAATTTTTATTACACAGTAAATTATCTTTGAAACTTAAATATATAGGTGAGGGAATTGACCAACTGATTGTTCGAATTTTTATGAATTTTTTTTTGCTGGGATATTTGTAAAATTTAACACATACCAGAAATAAGTTGTAATTCGCTGTAATTTACAAATTTTATGGCTTTTAAAAAATATATATTTTTTTTTTTCTATACTAATTACAATATTTTATTATTCAACAAGAAAGGAAAGCTAACTTCGGGCGGAGCCGAAGTTTATATACCCTTGCAGCTAAAACCGGATATATATCGCAAACATCGGATATAGTTGGCCGATCCTTATGAAATTTGGTAGGATGGATCAAAATTTAATCTGTACCAAGTTCCAGCTTTCTATCTTCAAAAACACGAAAGTTGGGTCATTTCCGATCGTTCAGTTATATGGCAGCTATGGGATATAGTCAGCCGATCCTAATGAAATTTGGTAGGTTGGATCAACTGACCAAAAATAGAATCTGTATTAAATTCCAGCTTTCTATCTACAAAAACACGAAAGTTGGGTCATTTCCGATCGTTCAGTTATATGGCAGCTATAAGATATAGTCGGCCGATCTTTATGAAATTTGGCATGACGTAATGTTTTGCCAAAAATAGCTCTCATGTCAAATTTGAACTCTCTAACTCTAAAAACACCAAAATTATACCATTTCCGATCAATCAGTTATATGGCAGCTATAGGATATAGTCGGCCGATCCGGGCCGTTCCGACTTATATACTGCGTGCAAAGGAAAGAAGGGTGTGTGCAAAGTTTCAAGACGATAGCTTTAAAACTGAGAGACTAGTTCGCGTAGAAACGGACAGACAGACAGACGGACAGACGGACAGACGGACATGCTCATATCAACTCAGGAGGTGATCCTGATCAAGAATATATACACTTTATAGGGTCGGAGATGTCTCCTTCACTGCGTTGCACACTTTTGACCAAAATTATAATACCCTCTGCAAGGGTATAAAAAGGAAAGCTAACTTCGGGCGGAGCCGAAGTTGTTATACCCTTGCAGTTAAAACCGGAAACATCGGATATAGTTGGTCGATCCTCATGAGAATATTATAATATAACCAATTTATTACAATAAAGCTAAAAAAAAGTATTTCTACCAAATACCATTTCCGATTTCCGCCCGAAGTTAGCTTTTCTTTCTTGTTTTCTAATAATTCCTTTATCTGTAAACTATTCGTTCTCAGAAAACAACCACATTTGAAATTATGACAAAAAAACAGAATGAAATTTTATGTTGCAACTATGAAGTGTAAGAGCAGTGTAGCTTTTATTTCAAAATTCAATAAAATGAAAGCGTACTTACATCTGATAATAATTTTAAAATACTTTCGCGTATTTGTAGGCAAGGTAGACTTTTGTTTGGCAAAGGCGCCAGCCAATCAGTAAGTACGTTAAGAATGTTGTGCTCCAAAAAAGCCAGCTGAAAGTGTTTTTTAATTAATTGTGACATTACTTGCTTTAGCATTGATATCTTTTTCGTGGCTGGTTGACCCAGCATGTTTAGCTGCCGATCATCATCGGAAGCGTTCTTCATGTTTATGATTAACTGATCAATGAGGTCATCGTTATCATTTATTAAATCAATATCTCCCTTGCGTCGGCGAACGCGTTTTTCTGCTTTTTTTCGTTGCAACATTGCGTCAAAGTCCGATATAAAGTTGCTGCTTCTGAAATTAAGATAGATACAAGCATCAGAGGTAAAATGAAGATAGATGAATCATTGCGATGGTAAATTTTACTCTGTTTCATTTAAAATTGGAGTGTTCTCATCGTCAGAGCTTTCTACTATTTTATTTTCATTTTTTCCTTTGTCCAAGCCGCTCTCTTGCTCCTCTTCTTCGTTGTCTGTGTCTGTGATTTTGACTCGTTTTTTGTTTGTTTTCGGAGACTCATCTGCATACAAAAGTGCCAAATGAATTTTAAATTGTATATTTTTTTAAAGAATTCAGCACACTTACCTTCAGAGTCAGTGAGAAGCAATCTCTTGCGTCTAGAGTTGTCTTTAGCTCCGTCTCGCTTACTCTTCGATCCAACGCTACTAGATCGGCTTTGAGACCGTCGCGTACTACGTTGAGAATTGAATGAAGGACTACGAGAGCGACTGGATAAACTGCGAGATCGTCTGGATCCGGATCCACTGCGAGACCGTTTCGATCCGGATTTACTGCGGGAACGTCTAGAGACACTGCAGGAGCGCCGTGAGCTACATATAGATCGCCGAGATCCACTTCTAGATCGCCTAGATCCGCTTCTAGACCTCCTAGAGCCACTTCTAGATCTTCTGGAACCACTTCTAGATCGCCTCGAGCCACTTCTGGATCTCAGGGAGCCGCTTCTAGATCGCCTGTATTCACTTCTAGATTGTCTGGATCCACTTCTAGATCGTCTGGAACTACTTTTAGATTGCCTAGAACGTATAGAGCCGGTTTTAGAGCGCCTAGAGTCACTTCTAGATCTTCTAGAGCCGCTTCTGGATCGCCTGCGTCCGCTTTTAGACCGTCTGGAGCCGCTTCTAGACCGTCTGGAGCCGCTTCTAGACCGTCTGGAGCCGCTTCTAGACCGTCTGGAGCCGCTTCTAGACCGCCTGGAGCTACTTCTTGACCGCCTGGAGTCACTTCTATCTGGTCTTGATCTACTTCGCGACCTTCTAGAACCACTTCTAGATCGCAAGGAACCACTTCTTGATCGCCTGGAACCACTTCTAGATCGCCTTCCGCCAGATTCACTGCGGGATCGCAATGAATCACTTCGAGAACGTAATGATCTCTCTTGGAAGCGACAGACTCCGGACGAATTCCTTGGTCCTGAACCGCTGCGGGGTATAGAACCGCTTCCCGACCGTCTTGAGCCACTACGAGAATGGTGAGGTCGGATCGAGTTGTTTGAGCCACAACGAGTAGGGGACTGTTTGAACGAGCTGTGTGAATGCCGAGAACTGGCTATAGAATGTTCAGAGCCACTGCGAGCCCCATCACTTTTTTCCAGAGAACGACTTCTCAAACGTGAAGCACGAGTTTCTTGTTCTTCTGGGAATAAGGATTTACGGTTACCGGTACCATCCGATTTCTCATGAACTGCATCGAAAACAGAATCATGCGAAGCTTTATGTACAAGATTTTCGGGTTTTTCACCTATGCTTTTTGCCTCCTCGATGCCCATAACATCTAGTAATTTAGTAGTTTAACAATAATTCATGTGATGGGTGATTTTATAACTTACCTTTATCAGACGCCGCCATCGTACGAGGCAGTGTATTACATAAAGAGGGCCGTCGCCTTTAATCTCCTTAGATCAATAAAACCATGAATGAAATATTCCTGGGTAAAATATTCTATCCGGATCAAAATCGTGAATCTTATAAAACGAACGACGCGATTTCTCAGCATTTATCGAACCAATGAAACGAAATGGATTTGAAACAGAAGCGATATATAAGCACACATACATAAACACACACATCTTAAGGACCTTACACACGTAAGGTTTCATACTGTTTCTAAAACACATCACAGAAAATATATCAATTAAACTTCACGATTTTAAATTCATACATTTATTAGAATAAATCAAATTAATTGAATTTAAAGGAGTAGTAACAAAAAAAATGTTTCTGACGCAATAGGTCGTGCACTAACGCAACACGTTAACCAAGTTTTATCCAAAACTGTTATGTATGTAGGTAATCTAATCTAAAGTGTTCTTGTGCAAAATTTGTGTATATATATTGAAAAGTGACAAAAGAACTTACTAGATTTGATTTACTATACTCATTAAAAAATTTTTATAAATATGTAAACTTTGCCCCGACGACTAGATTTAGACATTTGTTTTAACTATTCCATTATAGCATTATTTTAAGTTTTTTGGACAAAGATTCCATTTTTTCGAATTTGAATATATATATATATATATTCAACATCAATTCAAATTTCAACAACAGAATATTTCTAAAATAAAATAATCTGGGGTGCCATACAAAACACTTATAATTTGATGTAATATCAAGCTCCAAACTACTGAAACATTTTCGCCCTGAAACACAGATTCGACTAGTATAGCCAAGACAGAACCACTAGAGTGTTAGTTGTAAAAGCTGCCAGATTGCAAAATAAACATTTTATTTATTGCACATAATTAATTTTTATTATTTAATAATGAAAAAATTGATAAAAATGAAATTTATTCACAAAATTATTTCATAATTAAGCGTAAAAATAAATTTGATCCCATTTAATTCACTTTATATCAAAATCAAAATCACCTCCAAAATTGTAATATTATTTGGGCTACTGTATGAAAGGCAAGTAATTTCAACCACAAAACAAGCAAACAAGCCCCCTAAAATAAAATTGAAGCGAAATTTGAGTGGAAATGTTATTTGTAGAACCCCAGTATGTTTATTGATAGAAGTTTAAAAGTATGTTAAAACTTTAAGATGGGATCTTTTTTTTCTGAACACCAACAAAAACAATGCCTACCTCAATCCAATAACAACCTCTTAGGAAAATTTTTGATATCAAATTTAATGAATTGGCATTTATTAATACAAGAATCAAACAATTTTTATGTGATTTTTATTAAAAATAATGAAATTGGTCGAGTAAAAGAAATTCTCCGGAGTTACAGTTCTGTGTCCAGTATCTTTCAAAATAAAAAAAATCAAAACACAATTTTCCAACAACAAGTTTTGCCAGGTAGTCCCATCTATTTAATAAAAAATATAAGAATTCATAATGTAAAATTCATAATAATCATATAGAAATTAGTTGAATCAGTTTTATGTTAACTTTCAACACAGTTGGTGCAGTCGACCTATCGAGTACCCGACTCTCTAAATAAAAAATTCCAAAACCGAGTTTTTTGCTCAATCGTGAGCCCATGCAGATTAAACTGCAGTCTGGGCCAATTTTCAATTCCCCTTCAATATAATCAATCCCTGTACCATTTTCTAATCCATTTCATTTTTATGGTATTGCTTAAATAAATTTAATATATTATTGCGCATACATAAATACATGTTTAGGCACAACTTTGGATCAATGTAATATTCTATACATGGTTAAGATGTTGAGAGTCACAAAAAAAATATTTAAAATAAAGGGAACAAAATCACCGAAAATGTTTTTTCTTTCCTTAGGCCCTAAGGAGATAAAAAACTTGTGTCAACCCAATTTCTAAAGAACTTTTTCTCAGTGGATACATTTTTTTTATAAGTTTGGGCTTTCAAATGAGGCAAAATAAGAGCAAATGGGAGAGCTTCTAATACAATATGAAAGTGCTCACACTGTCAGTGTGCCGGCCGCGCTGCGGCAGAATTTACAACCCTACGCACGCGTGTTATGGAAAATGAGAGTTTGCCCACCACTGCCTTGGGGAGAGGAAATGTTCTTTTAGAAGAACATCTGATTTTAATTACATGTAAATTGTGCATTACAATGAAAATTATTTATCGAAATAGACACATATCTTATAATAAAACAACAACTGTTTATATCATAAAATTTACGTATTCATAACATTGTAAAACGATTTTTCAATTTGTATGACCCTTCATTATGTATATTTACTTGTTAAGGCATCTTTTTCGCTTAAATTAAACTATACATTCTTTTACTCCATTTTAATACAATTCAAATATCAATTATTTTTTAAAAGCAATTATAATTTTTTGTATAACGTTTTTTTTACTTTTCCTGATGAAGCTTCGTTTGAAGTCCGTTACAAATGGTAAATTTTACGATAAATTAATAAATCTACAAAATGATTCGAAGCCAAATCTAGTTACTTCCAGAAATTCGTACGGTCAACATCGCATAAACGCAATAGTAAACACTGAAGTTCTGCACTTATATAGCTCCTTATTATGAGAAAACATAAAATATCAATGTGTATGAATTTAAGATTATTCTTCAATGACGCCCTCATATACATACGTTTTTTTTCCATAGCTATTTATGCCGGGGACATCCTTAAGAGCTATGGATTGTTTATAGAGGAACACGATGAAACTTTGAAAAAGTTAAAAAAGAAAACGCCTGGATTCTCCGAAACTAAAAATAACTCACTGATTTCCATGATATCCGTGATAGAGCTTAACTATGTTTTTAACGATAGCATTGTGGCACAGATGTTTTTAGAGGAGTCGCAGATGGTCGCAAATAAACCCTTGACTACCTTGGCCAATCTGTGCAATCAGTGCCGGGATTTGACTCGGACAGCAAAGGAGTTGCAGCTGACTTGGTTACTCACTGGCTCCAAGCTTAAAGATCAGAAACAGCATTTAGGATATGATCTAGCTAAATTGGAGCAGATTCTGTTTCGTATAAGCACCTCTATCGATTTTTTTTGTCGGGTAAACTTTACATTAAACCGCATTAATGAAACTGTTCAAAACCTGTGGACACAAATTGTCGCCGTCAGCGTGCTGGAGGAAATCAATGAATTACATATATTTGTAAGGCAGTAAACGCCTTATCATACATTTTATATTCAGCATAAATTCTTACAGACCCTGTTTGATTATATGAATGAACTACTAGAATCCGTTGTAGTTTTTAATGAAATAGTGGAGCGTTCATACATAGCGTCCATATGGGTATTATACAAAAACTGGCTAGCTACGCTGACCAATAATAAATGTATATTGGACCACTGTACTACTTTGGAACTGCTTGGGCTAAGTAAAGCTCTTAAGGAGATTGAGTCTGTGATTTCAGGAAATCTTTTTCGGGTAAGAAAAACGTGTTAACGTGCGTAACACTAAATTTAAGTTTTATTTTAACAGACTCTTTTAGCTCATCTGATGAAATTGAAGAATCAAACATGCCTAAAAGATGTGAATCGAATTACTCAACGTTCCAATGCCTATATTCGCAAGAAGGTTTTTGCTGTTGATATAAATCAGGATACCGAGTACACGAACATTGAAGACCCAAAACTAATCATTCGGGTCATCGCATTTGTTGTAACGATCCAGCAGTTAGGAATCCAAATAGAGGCAAAGTTAGTCAAGGCTATATTTGACCTTGTGACCAAGCACCAGCTGCTACCCCTAATTGGGAAATTTCGCTGGTCCCCCCATAAATTTATTTTGGAGCATTCCAAAACATTATTTAAAACGTCAGGCAGGTTCCATGCTATAACCGGCAATGGCAACAAAATCCAAACATCAATTATTGAAAAAATAAAACTAAACGACTTGAAAACCAGTCGCCTATTAGGTAATCAGATTGCCGTTTGGTCATTCAACCTTAAAAAAGTAACTGACAGTGGAATTTTCGGCCACTTTAAGATGTTGTATAACCTCCTCCTTAGTGGTCATTCGTATATCGACGAAATATGTGTTTTAACAAACTCTTTAATCAACCGCCACATAGCTCTCAGGTCCTCATTGGTAAAGGCTGATATCTCTCTTATATGCCGCCTACTTCAATATCTTATGATAATACAGGATATTTTTGAAACAAACCAAATAAATTTCATTCGTTTCTTAGATTCCTTGATTCAATGGCAAAAGCAGAAGGTTTTGTTCCTTCTACAAAATACAAAGAAAAAAATTCTTGACATAAAGTTAGTTCAGCGAAAGGCAAATCTTCTCTCCATAATTAAGTTAACTGAAAACATATTTGTTGGCTTCCCAAGTACAAAGCGGTTGACTTTTCTTAATTTGGCTCTTGGGGACTTTCTCGACAAGGATCGATTGCAAATTGGTGATAAACATAACTATTTTAGTTCTTTTTTATTTCGAGCAAACAATTTGGGCCGTTTTAAGCAAGAATGTAGGATGAAAGTGGACTCATCAATTCTTATTTACATCTTATGGCTTCAAAATACGTCTTTTTTTAGAGAGTATGTTGAGTTGCAGCGCAATTCTTACTCCATGCAGGTAATATAACCCACTCCCAAAACTCTTCTTTTGGTTTATTTTTAAAAAATGTTCCCAGAATATCGTGGCGGTAAGTCAACAACTGCAAAAGAGCCGTCATATTTTTACCGGCTGTGAGGACAACAAACACTCGCCGAACACTCTTATGATCGAGTTTCTTAAATTACATTTTGAGTTCTTTCTTCGGGTTGAAGCTCTCTCGCATTTTTTTCAAAATCAAGATGAGCCTTTTCAAAAACAAAGATTAGATTATCGCCTCTGCCTAACTTCGACCGCTTCTGAATTTCTGGGGAGCTACGACATAATTCGAGGTAAGAATTTAATAAAGATAGATTTTTGTTATATTTTCAAAAAAAATTTTTTATTGGATAGCCTCAACATTGCGTTTTTTGTATGAAACACCACTTCGTTCAGATGGCTGCCTCGGTTGGCTTTACATCACATACAGTCGACCCCTGATGGAGATTTCAATCTCGTGCTTTAGGTCGTCAATCGTCTCTGGGCGGTTGGCGTAACACATATCCTTGAGGGCACCCCACAAAAATTGTGGGACGGACTGTTGACATCGTCGTTTCGGCTGAATGTGCGATTTTCGAACTTACCGCGCAAAATATCGATTGTGACGTTGGCTATGTGGCACGTAGCGCCGTCCTGCTGTAACCATATGTCCTCTATGTCTTCCTCTTCCATTTGGGGGAAGAAAAAGTCATGTGGGAAGACGCGATAGCGGACACCATTTTACCAGCGGATACCATCGAAAATGTGTTTAAAAATTGGGTCGACCGTATGGGCTACTGTAATGCCAGCAGAGGCAGCCATGTGAAGGAAGTGGTGTTTCATACATAAGCCGCATTGTTGAAGCTATTCAATAAAAAAAAATGTTTTGAAAAATATATATTCGTTGGTTTCTTATAGCGAGTTTAAAACGCAAATTTATACTCGTTTTTTAATAGCGGTTTTAAAACTAATCTATCGTGGGCCACCGTGTACAAAAAAACGTTCTTATCGTAAAACAAGAAAGGAAAGCCAACTTCGGGCGGAGCCGAAGTTAATATACCCTTGCAGTTAAAACCGGATATATATCGCAAACATCGGATATAGTTGGCCGACCCTTGAGAGAATATCATAATAAAACCAATTAATTCCAATAAAATAAAAAAATATTCTATAAAATAAAAAAATATTTTATAAAATAAAATATCTAAAACAAGAAAGGAAAGCAAACTTCGGGCGGAGTCAAAGTTGATATACCCTTGATATCGGATATAGTTTGCCGATCCTTATGAGAATATCATAATAAAACTAATTAATTACAATAAAATATCTAAAAAAAAGTCCCAAGCTATAGGATATAGTCGGCCGATCCTTATGAAATTTGGTAGGTTGGATCAACTAACAAAAAATAATCTCTGTACTTATATTTTACAACGAAATAATTAAACTGATATAAGTCGGAACGGCCGGGATCGGCTTGATCGGAATTGGTATAACTTTGATATTTTTAGAGCTAGAGAGTTCAAATTTTACACGAGAGCCATTTTTGGGAAAAAAATACATGCCAAATTTCAAAAGGATCGGCCTACTATATCCTATAGCTGCCATATAACTGAACGATCGGAAATGGTATTTGGTAGAAACATCATCTTTCGTATTTTTGAAGAAAGAAGCTTGGGACTTTTTATACCCTTGCAGAGGGTATTATAATTTTGGTCAAAAGTGTGCAACGCAGTGAAGGAGACATCTCCGACCCTATAAAGTATATATATTCTTGATCAGGATCACCTCCTGAGTAGATATGAGCATGTCCGTCTGTCCGTCTGTCCGTCTGTCCGTCTGTCCGTCTGTCTGTCCGTCTGTCTGTTTCTACGCAAACTAGTCTCTCAGTTTTAAAGCTATCGTCTTGAAACTTTGCACACACCCTTCTTTCCTTTGCACGCAGTATATAAGTCGGAACGGCCCGGATCGGCCGACTATATCCTATAGCTGCCATATAACTGATTGATCGGAAATGGTATAACTTTGGTGTTTTTAAAGTTAGAGAGTTCAAATTTTAGGTGAGAGCTATTTTTGGCAAAATAATACGACATGCTAAATTTCGTAAGGATCGGCCGACTATATCCTATAGCTGCCATACAACTGAACGATCGGAAATGACCCAACTTTCGTGTTTTTGAAGATAGAAAGCTGGAACTTGGTACAGATTATATTTTTGGTCAGTTAATTCGACCTACAAAATTTCATTAGGATCGGCCGACTATATCCTATAGCTTCCATATAACTGAACGATCGGAAATGACCCAACTTTCGTGTTTTTGAAGATAGAAAGCTGGCACTTGGTACACATTCTATTTTTGGTCAGTCAATCCGATCTACCAAATTTCATAACGATCGGTTGACTATATCTTATAGCTGACATATAACTGAACGATCGGAAATGGTATTTGGTAGAAATATCAACTTTCGAATTTTTGAAGATAGAAGCTTGGGACTTTTATTTAGATTCTTTATTGTAATTAATTGGTTTTATTATGATGTAATCATAAGGATCGGCCAACTATATCCGATGTTTGCGATATATATCCGGTTATAGCTGCAAGGGTATATAAACTTCGGCTCCGCCCGAAGTTAGCTTTGCTTTCTTGTTTTTAATATTTATACCCTTGCAGAGGGTATTATAATTTTGTCCAAAAGTGTGCAACGCAGTGAAGGAGACATCTCCGACCCTATAAAGTATATATATTCTTGATCAGGATCACCTCCTGAGTTGATATGAGCATGTCCGTCTGTCCGTCTGTCTGTCCGTCTGTCTGTTTCTACGCAAACTAGTCTCTCAGTTTTAAAGCTATCGTCTTGAAACTTTGCACACACCCTTCTTTCCTTTGCACGCAGTATATAAGTCGGAACGGCCCGGATCGGCCGACTATATCCTATAGCTGCCATATAACTGATTGATCGGAAATGGTATAACTTTGGTGTTTTTAGAGTTAGAGAGTTCAAATTTGACATGAGAGCTATTTTTGGCAAAACATTACGTCATGCCAAATTTTATAAGGATCGGCCGACTATATTCTATAGCTGCCATATAACTGAACGATCGGAAATGACCCAACTTTCGTGTTTTTGTAGATAGAAAGCTGGAATTTAATACAGATTCTATTTTTGGTCAGTTGATCCAACCTACCAAATTTCATAAGGATCGGCCGACTATATCCCATAGCTGCCATATAACTGAACGATCGGAAATGGTATTTGGTAGAAATATCAACTTTCGTATTTTGGAAGATAGAAGTTTGGGACTTTTTTTTTAGATTTTGCATTGTAATAAATTGGATTATATATTCCTATTCCCATAAGGATCGGCCAATTATATCCGATGTTTGCGATATATATCCGGTTTTAACTGCAAGGGTATATAAACTTCGGCTCCGCCCGAAGTTAGCTTTCCTTTCTTGTTTTTATTGTAATTAATTGGTTTTATTATGATGTGATCATAAGGATCGGCCAACTGTATCCGATGTTTGCGATATATATCCGGTTTTAACTGCAAGGGTATATCAACTTCGACTCCGCCCGAAGTTAGCTTTGCTTTCTTGTTTTAAATTACTTTTATTTTTAATTTGAATTTTGTTACAAAATAACCTAATCAGATGTAGCTGTTTCCAACTTTGAAAATGATAAGAAAATTTTCTTATCAATTTCTTATCAAATTATCTTTTCATTTCAAATAATGTAATATATTTTACAACAAAATAATTAAACTGATCGAATTCGAATAATGTTAATGAAGTAGGTTTTTTTGTTTATTATTTTTATACCCTTGCAGAGGGTATTATAATTTTGTCCAAAAGTGTGCAACGCAGTGAAGGAGACATCTCCGACCCTATAAAGTATATATATTCTTGATCAGGATCACCTCCTGAGTTGATATGAGCATGTCCGTCTGTCCGTCTGTCCGTCTGTCCGTCTGTCTGTCTGTCTGTTTCTACGCGAACTAGTCTCTCAGTTTTAAAGCTATCGTCTTGAAACTTTGCACACACCCTTCTTTCCTTTGCACGCAGTATATAAGTCGGAACGGCCCGGATCGGCCAACTATATCCTATAGCTGCCATATAACTGATTGATCGGAAATGGTATAACTTTGGTGTTTTTAGAGTTAGAGAGTTCAAATTTGACTTGAGAGCTATTTTTTGGCAAAACATTACGACATGCCAAATTTCATAAGGATCGGCAGACTATATCCTATAGCTGCCATATAACTGAACGATCGGAAATAGTATTTGGTAGAAATATCAATTTTCGTATTTTTGAAGATAGAAGCTTGGGACTTTTTTTTAGATTTTTTATTGTCATTAATTGGTTTTATTATGATGTAATCATAAGGATCGGCCAACTATATCCGATGTTTGCGATATATATCTGGTTTTAGCTGCAAGGGTATATCAACTTCGGCTCCGCCCGAAGTTAGCTTTGCTTTCTTGTTATAAGCTAAAAATGTCTTTCATTATTATTAATAGCTTTTAATATGCGGTTTGGCATTGCATTCACCAAATTTTAAAGAAGTAATCCCTTTATTTTGTTCCATTCAGCTACAATAGCTTCTTTTGAATCCTTTAAGGGGCCAAATTGTCGCCATAGCAGAATTATCCTGCTGAAATGTCCAAGAATATCCGTATTAAGACCATCTTCAAGAAGCTCCACATATGTATACTCTTTTTTTCTTTTTATAGCTTTGCTTTTTTTTATTAAATGTATACTCTTAATTTTGAGACTAACAATAATAACATTAAAATTTAACTAACAGTATACTAAGACTGCATTCTGGTTGCGTGTCCCTCAGGTCGGTCGCTTTGTATTCAAGGGTAAGAGGTGACCGAGCGTTGAAAAGCCAATGAAGGCTGCTGGCTTTTAGCTTTAGGTGTGTTCTTTTGGCTTCAATGTGCCGGCGCCATGTGAGTCTTTTGTCGAGATGTACTTCTAGGTATGTTACTTCGTTTGCTTGTGGGAGTAGAGTGTTGTTTAATCTGATAATCTGATCTGATAGCCATTTTTCAACATCGACCATATGAAAAGCTAGCTGCGCAGATGCTTGAATCGGGCATTTTGAGCGGCTAAGAATAGCTGTGCCATCGGCAAACGTAGATGTTGTTAGTCGTGTGCTTGTCGGGATGTCTGCTGTGTCGGGATTCTAGCACGCTACCTTGAGGAACTCCAGATCCAACAGTGTAATCATCAGATATAGCAGTATTGCACCTCACAACAAATTTTCTGTCGTAAATGTAAGACTGTAAAATTCTGTGGGTGCTGTAGGGGA